TCGGCTAGATTCCAAGACTCAGTAGGTAAAAGCAGGCCTCTGGTACTTAAAATAGATTCAACCCAACAGGGCCCTGGCTTTCGCATGGGAATCATATAAAATAGTCTTTTAAAAAAATTAAAAAATAATAAAATAAAATATATATATATATATATGTATGTTTTAAAAAATAAAAATAAATCATAGCTGACTTTTTCTGGTTTTCCATAATTCTCAAGGAAAAGTAAGTGAACTCATCCCACTGGTAACCAGGAGTGTAACTGGTTGGCTCACCACCCGTCCACAGCCCCCGAGAGCCCCAACTTCTCATCCGTCACCTGTCAGCTTCGCACCCGAGGAGAAATACCAGAATCTTGGGGAAGGGCAAAGGAGGAGTGTGCAGGTGGTAACGCGCAGGTACGTTCAAATAATAAAAAGTCCTACGAGGTTTCTTGGCTAGTGGGGATGTCCCGAGCAAGCAGCAAACTGGCTCTCAACCGAGGAGGCGGGACCAGGGGGATGGTCGGGGTGGAGCCGGGGGGCCACCTGTAGGCAAGCACCTGGGAACCCGCAGGTGTCCCCTCAAAGGAGCGAGAAAAAATACCCGCTGCGATGCAAGAAAGAGCCGCAGGGCAGGGCTGGATATAAAATAGGATCCAATTTTTTAAAAATACTCTGTGTCTGTGTGTGTGTGTGTGTCTGTGTGTCTGTCTGTGTGTGTCTGTGTGTCTGTGTATACACGTGTTTTCCTACAGCTGTACCTAAGGGAGGCTGCGACGTACCCGAGCCGTAAACCTTGGCTCCTTCTAGGGAGTGTGACTGGGAAAGAAAAAGTAAAATGCACCCTATAATCCTTACTGTCGGATCTTTTCACCTCGACGGTTGATATTAGTTTCAAAATATTAAAAAGGGGCAGGAAAAGAATTTGTAGGCGGGTATAAGATCTCTGTGTTTCTCAAAAGAAGGAAAAAGACTGAGATCGCTACTCTACATATTTACAGCCGAGACAAGAAACGGTCTCTTCTGACCCGCACACGGGAGGGGAATTTCCACGCTTCCCACCACCTCCAGGCCGCTCACCCCAGAGCACACGGCGTACCCAGGCCTCTCGAACATTCCCGGCTGACTCAGAAACAAAGCACGTATTCACGGGGCTCCACCCCGTCGCGGGGCGGCCCGAGACTAAATGGGCATCCCGCGCTCACCCCGGGCGGGCCCATCGCCCGCGGCTGCGGGAAAGGCCACTTCCCAGTGTCTGTTTAGCACGTGCCTCTGAAACGTCTGTCAGGGACGGTTCAGGGAAAGCCAACCCCCCCCACGTCCTCACGGCGACACTGAGGCTGTTCGGCACTCGTGTCCTCGGTGGCTCACCGCCCGCCCGCACTGCGGCGGCGTAACCGAAGCTCGTTTGCCGCCACAGGCTGGGTGAGGGCGCGTGGCCGTGTTGATGCCTAAAGCCGCATTCTGCTCTTTCGTGGTATCTGATGCATATCAGATACCTGATTTCACAGCTTATTTTAAGGATGGTCAGAGCTTCTTAGAAACAAAGAGCGAAAAGGCCAGTTTTCTGAGGGTAAAACCTGGAAGCCAACGTTCAGAGGCCTGCGGCGCTCGTTCCGCGAGTGGGCTGGCCGCAGGGAAAGGAGCCCGGCTCCCTCTAGGTCTGCAGGGCCGCCAGCGCCACGGGTCGCTGCATCGGGTAGGCAAGCGCGCGTCGGGTCAGGATCTTAAGGAAACCCAGTGTTACAGCACGGCCAAGAGCCGGAAAGATCTGGAAGGGTGAAGCAGTTTCACACGCGTGTGTGACACGCGCAGGCGGCAAGGGGGGCTCGGCCGGCACGCGTCGCCTCACCTCTGTCTGCACCATGAGAGGCCTGTGCATCCGAAGGTCATAGACAATCCCGTACACGTCCACGGTGTACTCATTTTCTATCTGATAGATGAGGCGGTCGATGGCGATGAAGGTGCCCGTCCTCCCAACGCCGGCGCTGAAAGAAACGGGAAATGAGCGTGGCGCGGGGGTCACCTCCGCTGCACAGCCCTCCCACTCCCCGGGCACGTGTCCTGCTCTCCGCCATCGTCAGGCCTCGAGGACAGAGACCAGGGTTCACCTAACATTCGCTCAACTGAAACCTCAGCCGGTCAGGCTGCACTGGCTTGAGGCAGGGACCCAAAGTTCTCAAGTGCCTTTGCGGTCAAACGCCACAAACAAAACACCCTGCCAGCGCTCCGCGGGCCTCAGTCCCATTCAAGGGGCCGCCATAAGCTCGGACGGCAGTTTCATCAGTGTATTCCCCGGGGGAACACAGCCCCTCCTTCCTTCTGTCTTAAATCAATTCCGTTAGCTTTAAAGCCGATGCCATTGTTTGGGGGGTGGGGGTGGGGGACAAACTTCCTCTGTAAAGGGACAGACAGTCACTATCTTCAGCTTTGCCACCGATGGCCTTTCTGCCGTTGCAGCAGGAGAGCAACAGACAATATGTAAACAAGTGGGCGTGGCCGTGGCCGTGGCCGTGGCCGTGGCCGTGGCCCAGGAAAACTACAAGACAGGCCGCCAAAGAGATTGTGGTGACAGTTTCGTGGGTATGTACTTACTGCCAAACTCATCAAGCTGTACATATTCTGTTTTTGTATGTCGAAAACTATTTTAAAATGCATAAAACAAACCAGAATGTACATGACTCGACACTGTCCAACAGCAAACCAACCTGCCAAGCGGAGAAAGCCGGCTGCAGGATGCACACACGATAAAATCGGACACAAGTTTAAAGCCGTATGGCACCGTAGGGATATATACACATGCAATGAAGTGCGAAGGCGCACAGGGAGGGATGCGCATAAACTGCAGGACCCGCCTAGAATGGGACGGAAGCCTGGCAAGTGGGGGCTTTATGTCTAGAATGTGTTATTAACAAAAAGAAGCATACACAGCCTCCCCGTGTGCTTTATTAGATTGTTACTACGCTCTATATCTTTGTAAGATTCAAATGTTTTACAAGAAAACATTATAAATAAGAAATGCATTAAAATACATTATAGTTTTAAAATATATATACAGGCAACCTATCAGATCTGGCCCACAAGCTGTAGAGTTCGCCAAACCCTGCCCCAGGGTTTAGGGACTAAGTCACGGTCCCTTGCCCAAACCTTTCCTGAATTTGTAAATGCCGGCGGCATTCAACCTTAGACCTTGCTTTTCAAAAGTGTCCGTCAATGAACTGTCCACAGTCTGTCTCACGGGAAGGGCCACCCGCCTACCTGCAATGCACCAGGATTGGCGACTCGGGGGGACTCTGCTTCATGTAGTCACGGACGAGGTACCGGAAGTTGATGAGCAGGTCGGTGGTGTCAGGGACCCCGTGGTCAGGCCAGGAGGTGAAGTGGAACTGTCGCAGGGGGTGACTGTCGCTTGTTTGGTTCTAAAAGCCAAGAAAAGAAACTAGAGGTGAGCCCCGGCCAGCGGGGCTCCGTTGGCTGAACAACGTCCTGTGCACCGAGGGGCTGAAGTTCGATCCCCGGTCAGGGCACGTGCCCAGGTTGCAGGTCTGACCCAGGGTCCGGGTGTGTATGGGAGGCAGCCAATCGATATTTCTCTCTCGAATCGATGTTTCTATCTCCCCCACTTTCCCCTCCACTCTCTCTGCAAAGCAATAGAAAAAATATCCTCAAGTGAGGGTTAAAAATAATAATAATAAAAGTAAATATTTTACTAAAGGCCATGTGGTATCCTGGATTGGATCCTGGAACAGGAAAGGGCTTTAGTGGAAAAATGTGAAATCTGAAAGTCTGGAGTTTAGTTAATAAAAAAAAAAAAGTAATAGTAAATTTAAAATGATGTGGACAATTCCACAGACAATTCTCTCCCACAGGGTGAACCCCAAGCAATAAAAGCAACCGAGGATAAGCCAGCCCATTTTAAACGGGTGAAATCTATAGAATCATGTATCACATTTTCAGGAATTCTCAACTATTGTGGATTTCATTATTTACGCAGCCGACACATGCATGGTAAGAGCTTGGGCAGCATCTCCAGAAAAGGGGTTTAAAACTGAGGCCAGCGCCTTTGAGACGCAGCAATTAGTAAAGAGTTAATACTTAATATAAGACGCTGTATCCATGACTCATGAACATCTTCAGGATAATTCTCGTAAACTAGCACCTAACCCACCAACACCCCCCCCCAAAAAAAACATTCAACACCACCGAGTCCACTTCCAGCTTTTCTCTTATGCACTGCTCATGACATGCATAACATTTGGTCTCTTGGTTTGTTCACTTGATTATAGTCATGGTCACTACCCCGTCTACGTAGCTGTCGTTACCAATAGCTGAGTAACGATACAATGACTAGATAACCTGTAGTTTAGTGATCCCTTCTCCAAAAGCTAGATATCTGCATGGTTTCCAAATCCCACCCCTATTACACATAATGCTGAGATTCGTTTTTATAAATAACAAGCCTTCTCCCATATGTCAGACTGTTACTTTGGGACAGATTCTCAAACCTGGAACCACCAGATCAAAGGGGAAGGGACATTTTTATGCCCTTGATATAAACTGCAAAGGGTCATGCCAATTACACGCCCATCAGAAGGTATCGATGTCGCTTCCTGACGCTGCTTCTATTTTTAAACACCCTTTAAAAAAAAAAAAAAAAAGAAAAAGACATATAAACTGACTTCCTAAAGTACCTACACAATGTATTAGATTTGTTTTCATAATCGTGGGGAGTAAGGGGAGCCACGTGTACATGCCCCGGAATTTTATTAGTGGAACTGTTATCAGAAACTGCTGCCCCGATGTCACAGTTCCGACCCTCAATCCAAAAGGGCCTCGGTTTGTAATAAAAACTCTATGAGCAGGTCACCTGGAGATGGAAGGAAAGGAGCGATGGTGGCTGAGCCACACTCTGAAGGTCCATGTTATTCAAGAATAATATGAAATTCTTCTTTAAAAAGTAAAACTAAAGGGGTGTCTACGAGTATGTATAGATTTGAATTGTTTTATTCTGTAAAGAAGCAAAAATATGTATTTTTCGGCTGCGTAAAAAAATATTGGTTAATATCAACCTAAAACGTACCTCCCCTAAAATGCATAGTCGGTCATTTTGTACGAGACCTAACCATCCTGGCCTCTTACTTACGTTTTTCACCGTGAAGTCTCTGATGGTCCATTCTGGAAGCACGATTTCAGAGGTCATTGCCACGGTGATGTTCCCATAGTCCTTGGCCTGCTTGGAAGGCCAGTACTCCTCACATTTGGTCTAGAATAAAAGTGCATTTTTATCCAAAGACTCGGATCACACCATCTGCTTTCACTAAAAACGTCTCAAGGGAAACCAGATATTGACAACTGGCATCAGGGACGGATCAAGTCCTTTACTGAGAGACACGATGGGCCTGCACCCAATCGCAGAGCAGACGGTGGGGCTGCCACGAGCAGCATCTCGCCCCCCCCGGGAATCCTCCACACGCTAACCCGGCTGCCGGCCTTACCCAGCTCCAGCAGCGGTGACTTAGTGAACAGAGAATATTATTTGTCCGCAAACAAAGGTAATAATAAAATAGATTTTTAAAGATTTTTTTTTTTTACTCTGTAGTTTTATGTTATTTTAAATAAGGTCCCTTTTTTATACTTTTCACTTGGAGAAAAAAAAGACAGAAAATACGTTTCTAAGAATAGAGGTGCTAAAGTTTGGTGAAGTGGTTTTTAAAAAAAAAGACAAATGGTTTTTAAGATGCTTACCCTTCCTCCACAGTAAAAAAGGAATGACTGTATTAATTTAATGACATTTTTTTAAAAGTGCTTACCCTCCCCTGCTCAACACACTTGGTCAGCATCACAACAGCGTATACGTTTTTCTCCCAAACCATACGCCAAAAATCTTTCAACGTGTTGGGTAAAGGTCCTTGTGTGGCAATGAAGTCTTTCTTGGAATGGTAGCCCTGAAAACAAAGAGCAACACGTACTCGACGTCAAAGAAGCAGAAAGGGGAGTCCTGAAGGTCTCCCCCAACGCGCCCGTGCTCGGAGGACCCCCCCACCACGTACAGGCATGTAGTTGGCATTGATGTAGTCGTCGGCGGAATGGGTCTGGACTGAAAGTCTGACACGGGAAATATCATCTGTGGATTTAAGAGAAAAAAGGTCCCCGTGAGAAGCCAACATTGAAGGGGCGTGACATACAAGAGAGGAACACGAGTACAAGGCGGCAGCTCGGCGGCTGTCTCACCTTGAGGGTACGCAGGTTGGCATTTTACACGTGGCCACATTTAATCCTCACAGTCGCCCTATGTCACCGTGGCACAGAGGAGCTATGTCACAGTAAGTGGCAGAAGCCAGGATCGAATCCAGGCAGCCTGGCACCAGGGCCCAGCTCTCAACCG